AGGACCGCCCCCTGCCGGTTTTCCAAGCTCACCTGCTCGTGGATCCAGTCTTCCACAGCCAGGTTTTGGTAAACATCGTCCGAAAGGGACTGCAGGATGAGCCCTCCGCCCCCCGCGCCCCCGAGGCGGGCCCTGGGGCTCCGGAGGACGCCCGGGCGCTGCAGGCAGCTCCTCAGCGACCACGGCAGCGCCATGCTCGGGACCACGGCGGAGCGGGCGCCGAGCGCCCGGCCTTCCCCCTTCCCGCACCCCACGGCACGAGCCCCGCGTGCGCTCCCGAACGTCTTCCGGGTCGCGCGAGGCGGGGGAAGGAAAAGCCGGTGGCACACGGGGCTGCAGCGAGTGCCCGCGGGGCGGCGGGCCGGGAAAGGCGCCGCCGGAGCGGATACAACGGGCAAACGGAACCGCAGGGCGAGCAGCGCACCATGGGTGCAGCTTGTCGCTAAAGGAGGCTGGCGACAGCTTAACTTCGCGCTGGGGTGAACTGCCCTATGATGCATGGGGCACGTTGCTTATAAAAATACCTTCATTTCAGTGTTGCAAGTAGCAGGAAGTCAGGGAGCCGGCGGGGCGCAGGAGTGAGCCTGGATCCTTTCACGCTGTCAGATAAGAGAAATGCACCTTGCGAGATTTCTGATGAAACTAAACTTAATAATAATAATAATAATAATAAATGCTAGAGCATTGGTTTACATTTGGCCGTTAACTTTTGGAAATTTGCAGTATGATGTTTTCCATTTTGCCACGAGGTGTCACTAAAAAGCCTATTCTCGGCTATCATATTCCTTGTTCACAGGCTGGGAGCTGTGCGCTTAACCCAGGGAGTTCTTTCACTTAAATGAAACCAGAATTTGCTAGAAATGTAAAGTGTGCAGAATAGTAGGTGGACAGTTAAAAATGTCCTGGATCTGCTTCTCACGTGCTGGAGGATAAAATACAAATACTGACAAATACTGTTTCTGAAAAGTGCCTATTGAAGACAAATCCAGGAAAACGGCTAGAAGTATTCTAGCAATAAACACGAAGTATACAGTTATGAACAGGAATAGAAGGAGTATAAGGAAGCAAGAAATCTCCATGCTTGAGTATTTAATCTTTAAGAAGAATATTTTACTTCAGAATATTATGTAAATGTTGCAGATAGTTAGGGAACGGCGGCCGGAAGATATTGTGCTGTACGGAAAGATAGGGCCCCTAATAGCCAATAGTGTTTAGTTTATGGTGTAAGCAGACGGATGTGACGTTGTAAACCTAGCTATATAACACCTTGTTACCCATCAATAAACGCCATTTGCCGTCCACCACATTGGTGTCAACTAGCTGATGGCCCGAGTGGTTTGGGGGTGCTCGCCGTGCCATCCCTGAACCAGGTCGCTGCAGCCATTTGAACTGCAACATGTAAATACCTTAAAATAAATGATGAGAGGTTAATATAGGTTGCTGTAGCAATTTAATGTATGCGGTAAAAACGTGTTGCCAGAGAACTATATAACAGCAAACCTTTATCAATGTTAAAATTGTGTTATAATTGCCAGTTGATAGGTCCTGAAATATAATCCAGCAGAATTTCTATTATTAGACTTAGCTTGGTGCACAAAAAGTAACACAACTGTTTTGCTAACAGCACTAGCCAGCATTAATGCTTACAAGAGAATTCGCCATACATCACTTAGAGAAAAACACAGAGATAAACAGAACTAACTAAACATACATAATTGTTTCACTCCTAAAGTGCATTTATTGGGGAAGAGTTTGGGTAAAGTTATGAAAACTGAAATGCTATCCTTCTTTCAGAGATAAATGCTAGATAATGCAGAGATTTGCCCTGATGATTTCCACCATACCAAGGTCAGAAAGTAAGAGCTGCCAGGAACACCAGATGGGGAAAGAGGAAAGAAAAGAAAAAAAAATGTGTTTCTCTTGCTCCTTTTCTTGAAGTTCAAATTTTCCAGTTTCTTCATTGTCTTTGGGTGGAGGTTATGTTTCAAAACACACCTCCAAAAAGGGATGCGCTCTTTCTGCAAATGCTTCATGATAGCAGTTTGCCTAAAAAGTCATTTACCAGGTACCATTCTCCAGAATGTAAAATCTGTGCTACTGCCCAGTAGGAAAGGAGAACATTTTTCCTAGCCTCTCAGCTCAACTTTGTCACTACCCAAGGTAGTCTCTTTCAAACACTCCTCTGTTTATACCCATGCCAGATATAAAGGAGCAGGCAGTAGGAGTCATAGGATTCAAGCAGCCTGCTTACCCTGTCACTTGTGTTAAAGGGACCAGAGCCTGCTCAGTCCTGTCCATGCTGCTCCAAGAGGGGACATGCAGGAGGTGTTGTGAAGTAGAGCTCCTGTCTTGGGGTATAAGAAAACACAGGAAATCATTTCTTTCATAAGATGTTGTTAGTGGGATAAAGAAAAAAAAGACATAATTTGCCCTGTTATGCCTTGACTTTTCAACTTTCCAATGCTTGTGAATCAGTTAATAAGTTAGCCTTAGCAGCAAGTACCCTGGAAAGCAGTAATAAGCTCAGTCCGAGGTTTTATCTTATGTGCAAATCTAATGCTTGACATCATAAAATAGGTGTAAAGGTGTCAATATTTTATTTTGGACCATGCAACTTGTATATAAATCTTATAAATGCATATGTGAATTGGATGGGTTTTGTAGGTAAGATTTAATTAAAGAAAGGCTGTTTTCCTGAGATTAAAGTCTTTCTTCTTTAACACTTTTCTAGTTTTCCCAAACCAGCGCAATTGTATGTCATCTGCTAAATTTTAATCAGTTAGAATGTCTACTTGGATATTGCTAAGGAAAAAAATATTAAGCACATACCCTGTAGGTTATTGTACGAAAAGAAAAGAAAAGAAAAGAAAAGAAAAGAAAAGAAAAGAAAAGAAAAGAAAAGAAAAGAAAAGAAAAGAAAAGAAAAGAAAAGAAAAGAAAAAGAGAAAAAGAAAATTACTCTGGGATACTCCATGTTCATATAACTGCTTAAAAGGATAAATGTGATTAGAGGGATTCGACTGACCTATCTGTGTCTGTGTGTGACTATCTTCCTTTGGTGACCCCCCAGGGGACAGTTTAATAGCAGTCTTTCCTCAGGGGACTGAGCTGACAAGGCATGACTTTGATCTTGGAAATCTTCTAATTTGCCAGATTTGCTCATGTTGCCTTTCAGTGTCTCTCCCTGAGACTTCAGCCTTCATAAAGGGTGAGGACTATGCTGCAGCTGTGCAAATGTGACCAGGCAGGTCTGAGTTAAAACTGGATGATTTAGGGATGATTTAAAGCGAGATTTCCACTCAGACCAATGGCATGAAATACTAGGTGTTTTCATATGGCAAAACATGCAAATCTGTGATATTCACCCATGTCTCTGTCTCCATTAGCAAATACCTGTGAAGAATGGGATGAGTTTTGGAGCAAGTCATTTTCTTGTCTGTGAAGGTCCGTAGTAGAAGAGTTTGGCTTCCCCTTTCAGCGAGATAGCAAAGTAGCAAGCAGTCAGTCAGAAGTAATGTGCCTGCAAAACTGAAAATAAGCCTGGACACCTTTTTTTGAACTTAATAAAGTTTATTTAGGAAATCTATCATAAATCAGAAACACAGTTTCTTAAAGTTTACTTTTGAAATATACAACTTAAAAACCTGCCAAGGTTAAAAAAAAAGTATGTTAAAAAACTTATATGAATTCATTATTGATAAATATTCACATGTGTTTATATCAGACTTATCAGAGTAAAATATTGCTCCCATTAATTTCATATAGGAGTTTACAGTGCGTGTGCTCTTACATGTTTTGGCCTCTGAGACAGGTTTTTGTATGATTTTTTAAAAATTTCTTCTCTCTCGTTTAGCTTTGCTGCCAGCGATTCAGTCGCAGGTGACAACAGGCATCATGATCACCTCTGAGAGCAAGACCAAAGCGAACAGAAGCAGCCAGGCTGCTGTGGAGATGTCCCTCAAAACCGCCTGGCTTCTGTCCCGCACCTGAGGGCGAGGGTAACGAGGCGAGGATTTCACGTTACGCCGAGCTCCCCCTTCCAGCGGCGAATGCCAGGACGGGAAAGCAAGCGGGGATTTCGGGACAGGCGCCTCCCGCGCTCGT